TATCAATATATAATATATAACATATAATATATAACATATAATATAGATAATAAAATGTTCTCACAGAGGACATTCACCATCTCTTAAGGACTTCCATTTCTGATTTTACTGAATAAATTCAGGAGAGCAATACTTGCTTAGTTGCAAAAGAAACTATGAATAATTAAGTTGTAGAAATAAAGTTTCTCCATGTCAGTGTATTTTAGGTTGATCCTGTATGTGTGTTTCATTGGCTGGGGATTCTTCACTTGATCTTTGCTTTCTTTGGCTGTTGTACATGATTATTCTTTGTGAGCAAAAAAAGCGTCTGCAGCAACTCCTGCTGCTACTGTGGCAGGACTCATTTAGCCAGGGAAAAATAAGAAACCATATATTTCCCTCCAAAGCAACCAATGTTTTAAAGCACAGATAAGGAGAGAAAGAGGGGAAGAGAGGCTTGCATTCAAATGCCTGATTTGTTCCAGACAGAAGGAGAGGAATTTCTCATTATCTCTCCTTATTTTCATTCTTTCATTAAAAGGGCAGAGGACACGCCCAGAGTGCCCATTGGTCGCCAGGGGTAGGAGAGAAGGAGATTTAAACACTTCAGAAGAGGCTGCAGAAGGAATACATAGAAACACTGTTTAAAAAAAACGTCCCGCCAGTACCCACAGTCGGGCTTGTCAACAGGTGTCAAAAGACCCTAAAGACACTAAGCTCAGGCTTGAAGAAGCAAGAGATTAACTTGTCAAAATTAAAAAGGTAAGAAAAGGCAATTAATGCACTTTTAGTTTCTCCCCGTCTCTACAGATGCACTGGGGATATATAAAGAGATGTGTATTGATTTTTTTGCACGGTATTGTACAAGGTGATTTTCTAATGAATAGTTTTTCACTTTTATTCCTACATTTTCAATTGCAGGTTGAGTGTAGCAATGAATAAAGGCAGGGTGCAGAATTTAATTCTTGTTGTTTTCCTCAGAGCTTGGGAATAAACCATATTAATGCTGCGTTCAATAGTTAAGGACATGCTGGGTTTGTTTTAATTGATTGTGCATTTTATCTCCTTAAACATTTGTTTGCGATGGTATTTTTTTCTTATTGTTTTTTGTTTGTATCTTTTATGTTTTTTGAAACCTAAATTAAGTAATTCAATTTAATGGATTTAAGTTGTATGCAATGCTTTTATTGAATATATTTCTTTTAATATAAAAGAACAATATTTTTGCAGATTGATGAAGTCTCCTTTAGGTTCTATTAAGCAGCGACCAAAGTAAAATACGTTTTATTTGCTTTTTTATAATTATTTTTAATATCATATATACAGTATATATACATTCACTAGAGAGGAACAATGTTTGACCAAAAGTTACAAAGAGCTCAAATAATTATGGCTGGTTAGATGGTATTGTAAATGTTAAATTATGAATTTCCTGATTTATTATGAATGAAAGTGATTAATGATTAAATTATTTGTTAAACATTTATGTTTGCATTCATGGAAAATCAGAAAAAAATATAATACTGAAATGAATTGCTACTTTTTGAAAAATATAAACTAGGAAATCAAGAAACTATTTTGCTTATAATATAAATGGTATGTTGAAAAAAAATTTGTTACCAGAATTTGACTTGTCAGTGCTTGGAGTTTCATGTACTGTAGCTGTTTCTTCTCTTCGATTATACACACTCTAAAACTGGTAGCTTTAACATCAAATGCAATTCCAATAGAAAAGATCCCTAATTGGAGATTAATTCTGGGACCAATTGCACACTGGAAAGACGCCACTAGTTTAAAATGCTGTGTGACATTCAATGCAAACTAGCAGCAGATGTCAAGCATTGCTTGCAGCTAACAGTCTTTGAATGGTTCATTATACACAATATAACATTCCACAAGCATTATGATGTTAGCAAGGGAAACAAGTGCCTAAAACTCTCTCAATCTGAACTTTATCAAGGTTTTGTGGTTTTAAATTTCAACAGTGTAGGCTGGAGATGGGGCAGTTATTGCAGTCTGTCGCTTTGACTGCAATTTAATTGCTCTCAGATTCTTTTGATTGTCCAAAGGGAGAATTTATGAAGAAATATGTGATGTAGACCACATATAAAGGAAGATTTTTTTGTGCGGAACATATAAATCTCTTTGTCATGTCAGTCCCAAATTATCCCGTTTGACCTTCAAAAACACAGGATGTTTTTCTTTTGTAGCTCTTTCTGTGTTTCTGTCCCTCTTCCTCCTTTCTTTTTGAATTCCAACTTCCTTTAATACCCTTAAGCTGTTCTTCACAATGGACTTCTCATTATCCATTGGTCATCCGAGTAAGCAAATGAAACCAATTGCACTTGTGGACAATCACTGGCCTTCCTTTGAGAACTCCAGAGGATTCAGGAACATCTGTGAAAGCATTTCCATAAAATGGATGGATGTTTGTTTGCATGAGCAGTAATAAGTAGCTTGAAATGGTTAGATTGCCATTCCAACAATTTTTTCCTTCCATTTTTAGCTATTTTGTCTTGGCAAAGCAATCTACTTTTAGATCTCATGGGTTCTGGTGATTGGGTATTGTTTCTGCTTGGATCTTGTCTTCTCCTATTAATGAAGATCTCGTCTCAATTATGGAAACAGCTAATTTGATTGTTTTACAGAAGTCACACATTGATCATTATGACTATGTCTTCTGATAACCCCTTTAGGTACTGGAGGTCTTTATACAGTATGTTGTGACATGACAGGTTAAAAGACAGAAAAACGCCTCTTATATGACCATGTATACACCTGCCATTGTGAAAACAAATTCCTCTATAGTTAGTGAACAGCATACAGGATTACAAAACCTTCTGCAATGTTGACACAACTCATTGTTATGATAACTTGAGAAAAGGAACACTGATTTTAGACTGTGAATGAAAACAAATTCAGAAAAGAATAATCAAAGCAATTTTGAATAATATGCACATAACTGAGATGAAAACCCAAATTCTAGCCATAGGTCTACAAACTCCACCAAGAGCCTGTCTGGAACTGACAGAAGAAGACAGCATGTCCTTTGTATGATCTTATTGTATGTAACTTAACTAAATCTATAATAGCCCCACCTACTGGTTTAATTCAGAATTTGGTAGAACTGATCATTTTCCTTGAGGGCCAACCATTCTGCATGAGACTCTGCTTTCCCCAACTCCATGCTGAATTTGCTACACCCTTATTATGTGGCTGACAAAAATATAAACGTTCTTCTATAGTGAAAGCAGATGTGAAGCAGTAGCAGTGACATGGGTTTGGCTATGTTCTCCCGATTTTAATCATAGGGAAAAATAAACAAGTTTCTGATAAACAAGGTACTGAGTGTTGATTATATGTTTGAAGAAGTTATAAACAGTGAGTTAAAGCTCTCTTCAACAGTGGTGTGTGGTACTTTTAGGTAAAATATATTGCTCCTGATGTGGTTTATTAGCAGACTGTTATTGAGTCTCGAAACTATCTACCGGAACGATCTCAGTTCTCCTAAACTGCTGATGGAGAGCCATCTTCTGTAATTATCATTTGAACAGCGATAGAAATGTAGCAGCAAGGGTGATGTCATGTTTCACTTTTTAGATGCCGTCTGTGGTGCTGAAACCAAGCCACAGATTTTCTGGCTATGTCGAATCGTCTTTGCAGACTTCACCTAAAACTCTCTCTTTGTGGAAAAGCACACAAATATTACATTTAAAAGCAATCCGATCAGATGAAATATGCTGTATTAGCTAACATATTTATACTTATTTCTCAGATTTTCTTGGGTTAGTTCTTTTTACACTGCATGGTTTTACGGAAACCTTTCTATGATTGTCTGAGTGTATGCTTATGCTTCACGAAGTTATTTTTCTGCAATCTTTACAAGAGCACATCATATCTAGTTACTGAGGCTTATGCCTTGTAATGTTTATTTAATTGCAAGCTTTTTCCTGTATGGTGTCTTTACTTCCTTAATGAACCATTTCAGAGCCCCTTTTTCAAATCCTGCATACTATTCCTATGACTTCAGTGGCTGTAGAATTACATTCATACTCATAACAATCTGCTGCAAACCTGAGATCAATCTACAGTATATGACAGAAAGCCATAACTGTATTCTACCACAGACTGCCATGTCACCAAACTTCCACTAGAAATTAACAAAGAGGGCCAAGAACTAATTTTGCCACACCCTTAGGGAAAGATTTTTTCTTAGACTCTGAGGTTTGCCCCAAATGAGCATTTTATTAAAACATAGATTTTTAGGGGATTTGCTTGGCCTTTTATTAAATATTACTTTTTACATATATAATTTCGCATCCCTCTGAAGAAGAGAGCTTGGATGACATCACTGGCATCTGGCGCTGAGTTACATCATTTTGCACTTAAGTGTGTCTGGATCCACAGAGTCATTGTGGGAAATCCTGTACAATTTTAGGCCTGGAGAGAACTTGGCTGGTCAGAGAACGTGAATGTGCAAGTCTGTGAGGTTTCCTCTAATTGTAGGGGTGCTTCCATATGATAGGCGAGGCTTGCTATTTCTATAATAGAGCATATTTTAAAAAAATGTATTAATATGTCAATGAAGTCTCTAAATTAAAGGTTTGAACTTGTTTTCTGATACCCCACTCTAGTTATTAACATTGCGAGCCAACAAAAACTATTAAGAAACACATACTGTATATAAAAGTCAAAACTGAGTTATTACATATGACCAGTATATCAGGATTTCATATTAGACTTTCATCTTTTATATTATACTTTCAAATTAAATTAAACTTTTCATGTAATACAGTGCTATTTTAAAAATGGGAAAGATTATGTTTTATTTACACTGTTTTCAAATACAGTGTATATGACTTAGTAAACAGAATACCAGAAATTGACTATTATAATGTTTTTTTATAGAGATAATTGTCAGTTACAGTACCACCAAAAGCGCGATATCTCCGTAGTCTATGAATTCCCCTTACACTGGGTGAAATTAAAATTTTGCATCAGTAAGTAAAGTAAACAGGCTTAGTAAGTAGTAAGTAGCAAGATTAGTAAGTAAACAAAATCTAAATGAATCAGGAACAATCAGTATTCTGTCAATATTTTCAATAAGAAATTCTGCTATTGTGCTTTGCTGTTTCTGTGAACACCTTTGGGTTATTTAGCTGGAATGATCAGAAACAGTACTGAAAACTTCCAGTAGGAAATCAATTAGGGTTATGAGCCCTTTTCCATTCTATTTTCCCTGGGATTCTAACAGACTTTCCAGATTTCAGGAGGGACTTTACATTGAATACAAGATTTGTCGATGGAACTTCCAATAGGATAACTAACTCCTTTTAGATTATCTTATGAACAACAACTTTCATTGTAGTACATCCAGTCATCAATTTCCCTACGGGATTAATAAAGTATTATCTATCTATCTAGAATATTCAAATTTTCATTGAAGATCTAATGCATTAAGCTACTATAAGTATGTTTTAGCTTTTTGTGTATCCACAACATTGCACTCAATGTCTTATGCAGAAATTTAAATATTTTTTTCTCTTCACTCAAAGCAGTCAAGATGTTCTTCAGAACAACTCAGAAGGTTAGGGTCTTGCTCCTTTTGGGTTCTCTGTGCATCTGTGGAGACTTCACTGCTGCTGACGACCCTGTCATCCCTGCTAACAATGGAGTCACTTTTAGCCACGTTTATAAGATCGACCTGCCTAAGGCATCTGACTGCAAGGTGGAGATGGACACCATCCCTGTACAGGACCAGGGGACAGAGCAGGCGGTCTCTTCGCAGGGCATGGAGGGAGATAACAACATCGTCTTCAGGCACAATATCCGTTTGCAAACTCCAAAATGCGACTGCGAGTCATCTGAGAGCTTCCAGGCCCTGTTGTACAGGATTAATGGTCTGGAGGAGGAAGTGACCTACCTCAAAAGCCAGTGCACACAGGGTTGCTGTGGTGGAGGAGGTACTAATCCTGGTTCATTGATGCTTTTACTATCCCACAGGATAGGTTCCTTTGCCACTATGAATCCATGGCTGTCTAGAGTAAGGGAAAACAAAATCAGAGCTGCAGGAGTTTACCACAAAAGAGGTTTTGCATGCACATTTAATGTTGTCTGACTAACATTTTGCTTGCAGTTTCATGATTTCAGGTTACAGCTCTTAAGATTCTAACAGTTCTCAAATCCCGACTGACTGATGAATGATCCAAAGTCCCCAAAAAATCTTTCAATCAGCATGACTCTAACTTCTCTTCCAAAACCAGCTTCTATCACTGCATTAGGGTGATTTAACTTACTCATCTGAATGTCTGAACAGCAGCACTGTAACAGCTGTGTCAGCTTATCCTCACTGTTGTTTCTTAGGCTCAGACATCAAGTGCAGTGGCCATGGGAGTTTAAAACAGGACACGTGTAGCTGTGTCTGTGATGAGGGCTGGGAAGGTGAGGATTGCTCCAGGAGGTCCTGCCCAAATGAATGCAGTGACAATGGACGCTGCGTGGATGGGCAGTGTGTCTGTTACCAGGGGTACGCTGGGGCTGATTGCAGTGAGCTCCTCTGCCCCAATGACTGTAACGACAAGGGCCGCTGTGTGGACGGAGTTTGCCAGTGCTTTAGAAACTTCATGGGTGAGGACTGCAGCCTGTGGAGGTGCCCTAATGACTGCAGTGGGAATGGAGAGTGTGATGATGGAACGTGCATCTGTGAGGATGGCTTTACAGGGATCGACTGCTCCAAGGGTAAGTACCTCTCTGTGTGTAGATACTGTACACTGACTCTTATTAATAACAAACATGAACTACATTAACACACATATGTACTCTTACACAAACATAACCCCGGGCAATGCTATATTTTGTTTTACTGGTAAAATCCTGATCAGGAATACAGTATGTGAGTCCTGTGCTGTCGATACTTCAGACCGCCACTTGAGGTAGGGATTCTTGGAGAGTTGGTGCAGAGATAGCTGGAGAGTTTTGAGTGGTTAGCGGAGGCAGATATTGGAGATAAACCGCATATGACTCTTTTTCACCATGTCTTAAGACTCAGTGTTTGTCATTCCAGCTGAATCTCCGTAGCTAATTAATTACTTTAACTGATTACTTGTTTAGGCTATGGGTTTTCCTCAAGAGTGCTGTTACCAACAACTTTGACACACAGAAGAGAAATTCAAGTTGCTTACCCTTGTTTCTGAATAATCATTTCATTTCTTAGTAGAACACTGAGATTTGCATCCTTCTGTTGAGGTCCAGATGGTTATATTTCAGGCAGCACATGTGAAATAAGCAAGTTTTGAAACTCAAGACTGGTTAAGGGTGGATACAAATTACCAATCTTATTCAACCCTTATAAGGGGTGAAAGCAAATCTTAAAATATGTCCCAAATAAAAAATTGAAACCAAATAGCCGAGGAATAAAAACTTGGCTCTGGCAAACACCACAAGACACAGCAGTCCCTTATGTCCTGGGTTGGTAACCACAGCTCTACAGGATGAATTTACTCAAATGTGTCTCCAGTCTCTCTGAATTTTTTGTACTGGGAGACACAAGTTAGATCATGCAAGCTTATCTGTCTTGTAAACTACGCGCAAATAGTTTGAAAAAAAAAACAAAAAGAAGATGAAAACACGTTCAGGTTTCATATCGTGTTGATCTTAATGGGGAACAGAAGAGGGTCAGAAGAGAGTAGGCTCAAAGTTAGATGGCAGGTGTGGTAAAATCAGGGCTTCATGACAGATTTAACACTGGGTTAGATTAAAGCACCTTCCCAGGGCAGGGTGGCTGTTAAGTGCTAGACTTCCCAGAAGGAGAATTCACATGGAGCAGGAATGTGGGATGTTATGTCTGGGACAAACCTACAACACGGATAACTGCATAAACAAATCTCAGATTATATCAGAACTGCAAACGTGTATCCCTGTAGTGCTATGAAAAAGTTCATATGAGCAAAGATAAAATATTTCATCACAGGTTGTTTTTTGTTTTATGATTCTAGCCACTTATAAAACTTGAAAATGCTCATTATGTCCATCCATATTCTTACAATCCTTGTCTGCTTGCTGACCAGAAAGCATTGGCCAATCTTAGTTTATGCGTTATTAATATTTAAAGGTGTATGAGTGAAATACTGCAATGAACTGGCATCCCATCCAGGGTGTATCCTGTCTGGGCTCCAGCTCCCTTGTAACCCTAAGTCAGATGAAGTGGTTAGGAAATGGATAGATTAAATATGGTAATCTACAGAATTTCCAGCTTGTGTTCAGGGCTTTATTCATTATATTTTTCTTCTTCAAGGGTAATTGAATATGCTACATTCCCCTGTATTTTCACCTTGAAATGTTAGGCAGTATTTTCTTAGCTGACTGACAGATAATTGATCAGATTCTCCTTATCATGAAGGAAGCTTGGAATTTATGTTTCCCATTCTATAAGGAAAATCAAGCAATTTTCATGCTAATAAGATTAGAGGCTCTTGAAGTGCACAGTAAATGGCACAGATTTGAGAGCCCTGCACCAAACCTTTCATAAAGCAAAACAATTACAGCATGAATTAAGTAGTAAGTGGGTTTATGACATGCGACATTTTTATATTCTCAGAGGTTTTATTATAGTGTACAGTGTACATTATCTCATGCTTTTATTAGCATTAACATGACTATCAGTTTTAAAAAAATATTATGCTTATATTGGCTCAGCTGACAGAAACAGAGCGACAGTATTCTTCATATTAGGCCTTACCAGAACATGAGAGCTAATGAAACTGAAACAAAGATTAGGGCTATTTCTCTTCTGGCAGTGCAATAATCAGGAGATTCACACAGAAAGGCTATAAAGGTGTACACTACTTTTCTACAATCAATTCAACACTACTAGCTTCTTATCTAGTCCACTGCATTCTAACATTTTCCAACATTCTCCAGAGCATTTAGAAAACACTACTGTTCTTGGTTAGATTTGGTTAAAAAGAGCCAGTAATCATTAGACATTTATGACACCACCCGAAAACTGATCACCCTGCAGCAAATAAGAATCCACAATGAGAATAAACCCCAGCCCAAATAAATGTGCAAGAAAAAGGGAAATCATTGTTTGAAGCAGTGTAAATAACAATAACGAGATAAAATCTCTGAATTCCAGTGGCTTTCCCTACCCCAGATCAATGCCTATTCTACACATCTGCTGGAAGTTTTTATTCTACAGCTCATTCCCAAACACTGTCTTCAGGGCATTTGTGCATTGCAAGATGCAAAACCAGGATAAACATGGTTGTCATTGGAAAGAAATTAAAAGTCTCTTATTTGGTTTGCCGTGGAAATAAAGGTCAGAACAAAATGAGGTGTAAAATCAGCTTAAAATTCTCATTACACCTTAATAAAGATCCCTTTCTATATTACATCTCATTTAAACAATAGTCCCATTCTGCAGTGCCAAAACTTTTAAAACGACCGCAATGTAGTTACTAGAGGTTATTGTGACCACTTCCAAAAATCTGGAGTACATGCCTCCCAAATTACATTAACTCTATTTTAAAATCACAGAGCAATACCATACTGCTGGATTGGTTGGATTCTTACAGTTACTCTATAGCTGTGACAATTAACTTGTGATATTGCTCACTTGGTCAACTTTAATGCAAAAACATGCTTAAGCAAAAAAAGCTATTGTCATTAGCTATCATAGTGTCATTTGCAAATCTTCTGGTGGTGCTCGAAATTCCGATCATTCCATTTCATTCACTTTAAGTACTTTAAAAACGTCCCCATCAATAAAAGCATTACGCAAAGGGAGTGTTTTTTACATAGAAAACACCAATATGTGTTAAGAAGGATGTGAAGCCTTTTGTATTAAATGCAAATAGTCCATTTTTGAGTAAATGACTTTCAGTCAGATGAGATTCTGAGCTTTTGGGATCAGTTCTCCAATCGCAACAAAATGGTTATGACTGCTTTTTCTGGTCTGAAAGCCTTCCTTTGTGAGTTTCTCACCTATGTAAGCTATTTTACTTCTTACTGTCAGAGATTAAGTTATTTTTCTTAGCAGTCTCTCTGAATTATTATTTGTTCTAGAAGGTGTTCCTAGAGGGAGCCAATGTAAAATACAGAAACAGACCTATGAACTGTCACTAAATGGAAAGCCTGCTGCTGAACAGAATGAAAACACACAGTTTCCTGTACTCGTGGTGTGGAACAATGTCCTAACCTGTTACACAGACTTCCCTTCTAACTGTGGTCTCCTCATCACCAGTTTCTCTTTCCCCACTTGCCCATTTCTGGTTTTCACTTACTTTACTCCTAATGTTCTCCTCTCCTCTCCTATACTTTTACCCTAACCCACAGAATAATTTTGAAGTGGAAATTTGCGTCTAGCTTTGCTGACTGTCTGTCTCCAGGATTACATTTTGTTTTGAATAGTTTCCCTTTTAAATATTTTTGCATGTTTTCCACTGTCTTAATTGAAAGAACCTAATACATAAGCATTTTCAGTGCAGCCAGACTTTCCTTAAATTACTTTTCTTCATTTTGCAAAACCCCCGTTTGCCCACAAAGGTCTAAACTGAGCTAATACAGTTCCTGTGTTTTCAGTAGAATCGTGTTCTGTTATGTATATAAGCAATTAAGATAAAGCCAGCCTAAACTTTTTTATTTTGTTGGATTCAGTGATGGGCCCCAATAACTTGCGCTTACTGAGATCCTCTGAAGAATCCCTTTTGGTGGAATGGGACGAAGTACCTGGTGCCGAGTACTACCTCCTTACATATCACCCTGAAGGAGATGAAGGCTCCATTAGGGAAATCAGAGTCCCCAGTGACACAAACTCCTATCTGATCACTGGCTTAACTCCTGGAGTCAAATACATCATAAATGTGTCTGCATGGATCAAGGGCATTACTAGTGAGCCTGAATCATTGGAGGCCACGACTGGTATGAAAACTTAAAATTCCTCTCTTTACGTTATAAGGATGTCAACATAATGGTGATTTTGTTTCTTTTAGGGCCACACAGTGCCCTTTGCCAGCAAATAAGTGGATTCAGTTAACACTGAAGTATATACTGGACTTTGTGCACAACATACATATTTTTCATAGAAAAAGGTTTAAAACTCTGTAGGAGCTCTATAGTTAGTTATGCCTGTGGTCTAAACAAACTTTATAATGTTAGGATAGGTTCATTTGAGCCTTTTAGTCGAATTTATAAAAAAAAAACAAAAGAAAAATGACAAAAAAACACACAGATATAACAGCTCAAAGTTTTCTAAAATTGTATGAAACTACTGTATATGCACACTTTCATATTACAAAATGAAAAGGAGGTTTTGTGCTACCAGATTATTAAACTACTTTTTTTTTGGCCAGCTGGCTTAAAGAGGCTATGGTTTGCTAACCACCAAGGTAATTAGATTTGTTTACATAATTATTAAGGATGCCAAAAAAGACATTTTAAGAAACATATGTCAGTGTACCAACGCAAATTGCAAGATATTGTAACTCTGTACGGAACACAAGCGTTCTAGACCACTGGAATTACGCATACATTCTTTTTGTTGGGTTTTGTTATTTTATTATTAGCATGATTCTTATGTTAATGCAGAAATTGAGACAAAACTTGCTTTATTAAAGCTTACTATTTTGAATGGATGCTAGAAACACAGCTCTATATATGGTTTCATTTTTAGTACAATATTTTCTTTTTGTAGCTGCACATACTGTATTCCCAAATTAAGTTAAAAAACCCTCACAAAAAGTAAAATGTCTGAACCCTGACAGCAATGAAAAAGAACCATTTCCACGAGACTATTAATGTATTGCGAATGAAACAGTAAAAATGAATGCACGCTCATATCTGCTTTTTATTTTCAGAAGTGTCAACGGTGCAGAAAATCAGAGTGGTCAGTCAGACAGAGGACTCTATCCAGGTGGAGTGGCCAAATCCCTCATCGGAAGTTGACTACTTCAGACTGACCTTTGTCACTCCCGAAGGCCAGGAGCAGGAGGTCAGAGTTCAGAAGAGTTCTGGAGCTAAAACCAGCTACACCATCACAGGTGACAATTAGAAGTTATCTATATCTCCTTGCAGCATTAATTGTCCTGTCCCTTGGATAGCTTTCGCAAAATGTGTTTAAAAATGACAGCTGAAAATTAAAAATTCACGCTGAGCTTACTATTTTGCAGATCTCTTCCCTGGCACCAAGTACCTCATAAAAGTTCAAGCCATTAAAGGGAATACAGCAGGGAAACCTTCTTCTGTGAATGGGCTAACAGGTAAAATTCCTGCATGCAGTCTGACAGAAAATACAATGGATAGTGAGGAGGGGAGAAGGGGTTGATGCATGTATTTCAAATCTACATTTTGGAAGCTCTTTGCACTGAATGTTGTTGAAACTGTGAAGAATCCAGGCTGCGATGCAAACAAAAGTTTCCGAAGACCCAGGCACCAGGTGAAGGAAAAGATTGTAGTACAGAAATTGCAGGTGACAGGCAATTGTTCCACAGATTCCAGAGAGAGAAGACAGGGAATTCCATGGCCAAAAATGGGCGCCCTCATCTCTTTTGCTGGGTCTTGAGAGGCTTCATGGAAGATAATTTTTCTTCCACCCATCATGAGAAAACAACTTATTCTTGATAAGGTTCAAGAAGCTGTGGGTTCAGCATGCATTGGCTACAGAGGACCAAATAAAAAGGTGTAAAAAGGGGTTGCAACTGAAACCAAAAAATGGCTTTGACAGGACTGCTAGAAATGACAAATGATATTGCACTAAAACTATATTCTACCAAACAACAAATGCAGATTGGTGCCCAAGAACATGGCCTCTGTACGTTTTGATTGTCAGGACAGTAGTGAGATATACAGTAATAAACCTTAGCAGGACGTTATTTTAACAGACCAGACCCATTAACTGAGTTTTCCACTGCATGCTGCCAAAGGGTTATGATATTCATTTTGTGACATGGTAGTTACTGATACAGTTGATTTGGATTCAATACGTTTGCTGAATTGACAAAAATCAGCAACAATTGAAGGAAAAAAACTTTATGAAAAACAGTTTTCTTTCTTTTAACGTGATACTCAGCTTTCAGTCATGTCCAACTATTCAGGTATACTGCCCTTTTTAAAGGAAGTTTGACATTCTGGCCAAATCCTTCACTTAAAACAACAAAGCACTGACTCCAGTAGTAAATTTGAACAAAGCTATTCATGAAGAGCTCTTAGGTGGTTACTGTATGTTATTATGATGGGACATGAGCATACTGTACATGGAACACTTAATGTATTTTCCTAACCTCACCTAAATATCCATTTAGAAGCTATTAGTAGACTTCAATGATACTATAATGTATCAAAAAGATTATAAGAATGCAAAAAGATTTTAACTTATTACTACAAGACTGGAAAAACATGATGATCTGAGAAGTGGATAATCCTTTTTGTGTTTTGGAACCTACTATCCTTACATTGTCCCTTTTCCACAATACTTTCTCCACAATACAATATCCCCAAAGTCTCTGAATCCAAAGGCAAAGGCTATGCTAGCGTCCTCACACAAATGACCCTGCATCTACAGAATTTCAAAACACACAAAAAAATGCTGACTTCTAAAAGCTTCAGAAACCACAATCTGGAAAGGAAAACTTCAGATTAAGTTACAGAACTGTGGTTGTCTACATTTTTTTGACAAATATGAAAGCTTTACATATGTGACAGGCACTGCAGTTTGTTAGGTAATATTGTAATATCGCTCTTCTAAAATGTGAAAATAACCCACAAGTATTTTGCTATTACTCGGATGTTGATGACTCCTGTCACATATTTTCAGCCTTTTCACTGAGAGATGACTGTCAGTAACACTGAAACACTACTGAAATTCCCTCCTCAGATATCGATGCCCCCACCAACCTGGTGACCAAGTCTGTGACAGAGGACACAGCTACTTTGTCCTGG